CACAAGACTCACACAAGAGAAACCAACAAATAATATCAATACATCAAAAGTGCATTGTTTAAGATGATCAAGGCAAACACTAAATCTCTAGACAGAATGCTGGGGGACAGGGAAGAAGGCATCTATAAACTGTCAATGTCTGGAATAGGAGACATATCACTAGACAGTTTATAGAATTAAAAGACTAATAAGGCAACATTGCAAATAATCTCTCTCACACAGATTGTGTAGCTTAAGTGGAAAAATTCCTTTAAAGACACTAACTGTAGGTGGTGCCTCAAGAAAACAGAACCCAATATTTACTGAAGAAACTGAATTGATATTTTTAAATCTCCCCATAAAAAAACAAGAATTAAGAGCTTCATTAGTTAATTCCATCCAATTTATATTTTTTTCACTAACAAATTATTTTAGTTGAGCATGATAGCTCACACTTTTAATCCCAGCACTAAGGAGGCAAAAACAGATGATCTCTGAATCTGAAGTCTGCCTGGTCTACAGAGGACAGCCAGGGCTACACAAAGAAACCCTGTCTGAAAAAACCAATAATAATAACAATAATAAGTTCATAAAATTTAAAAAATCATTTACATGTGTCTGAGTATATACCTGTGAGTACCTATAGAGACCAGAAGAGGGAGTCAGAGGCCCCTAGAGCTGGTCATAAGCTGCCTGGTGTGGCTGTTCAGAACAGAACTCTGGTTTTCCCAAAGCACAGAAAATGCTCTTAACCATTGAATTATCTCTCCAGCCCTTCCATTCAACTTCCAAGAAACAATACCAATTTTACATAAACTCTTGCCCTTGTACTATTTGGACGATGCCCTTGTTTCTTCTTGGTTCATTTTCTGAGGCCAGCATGACTCTGTTGTCCAAACCAAAAGATGATATTACAAGAGAAGGAAATTGTGGGACAACATCACTCACAATCGTAGCCAAAAAATAAGTGCCACAATTTTTGAATGTCAAATTTTATGTATATAAAAGAATAACATTATAATCAAATAAGGTTTATTCAAAGAATGCAGGCATCCGTTGTGGGTGAGGGAAGAAATGAACCACTGTGGTCCACACCATGACCTACCTCTCAGCAGTAATGGAGTGAGTAGACACCAATACAAACAGGAACTCAGAATCCCTCCATGGAGTTACCCTAAGCGGGAAAGAAAACCCAGCCCCTGCCCCATGTTACATACAATATACTTTCGCTCAGATTCTTGAGATGATGAGTCTAAGGAAACACAGTAGTTCAGTGATTGAGAGTGAGGAAGGCAGGAGACACAGGTGTGAGGAAAGCAGGGACAGGAGGGTCTCCAGTTGATTGTCTATATACAGGCTGTGACAATGAACTTGTAAGATACTATCATGGTGGAAGTGAATGGGGGGTTGTAGGAGGAGCTAAGGTGGGAGGAATAAGGAGAGGAAGAGGAGGAGTTGGGAGAGGAAGAGAAAAAAGGAAGAGGAGGAGCTAGAGAGGGCAGAGATGTAGGAGGATAGAGAACCACACAGGTATGGAGAGCACTCGTGGGGAACAACTTATAAACTTATAATTAGGTTTAACTCTCTTTGTATGGGCATCTTGTTATTAATCATTATCAAACATATAAAGCCTTTGATTAATCTATAAGAATTAGAGTCTCATTCTCTTACTGGGCCCGCATGGATGGCAGAATGGTCTGGGCAATGCCTTGCCTTGCAGAGACAGTGTGGAAGATTGGCAGAGCCATCTCTCACGCTGGCATCTAGTGGGTGGCAGGGCTGGTGTTTCTGGTGGGCCGGTTCTAGCTGCAGCGCGCATGTGGCCTCAAGCTAAGAAACATGACAGCTGGGCTGGGCAGAGCCACTGCAGCTTAGATAGTTGGCTTGACTAGCAGCCATTTTAAATAATTGCAACAACAGGGGTTAGATAAACTACCCATGGGTCTGACTTTTTTTTTTTTTTGCAACTTCTTGTGAACCCATAATGACTTCCAAATAAAGAGAAATTTGTAGTATGTTTTTATGTAAATAGCCAAGGGCAAATAGTCAAGACCTTCTTGAAGAACATGAGGAAACATGGGTGTCGAGGTAGCTCTATGCTCTGACAGCGTAAAAATAGCATACATCAGGTTCTAGCCCATGATGTATTTCCTCTATGCAGAGCTTTGAAACCTTTTCACAGGTACACTAAGAGACAGGTAGAGAACATTCCTATCTGCACCATTTGTAAAGCAGAAAGAAGGCTGGGTGCTTTTTCCCAAAGTTAATTTCCTGGTTCTGCTAAGGTACTATGGTTATGTAAGATGTTATCATGGGGCTGTTGGATGAGGAGACACAGAAACTTCCTGTACTATTTTTTGAAACCTCTATGTAGTCTAAAACTATTTCAAGCTTTAAAAACTGGACACATTTTTACTGAAAATGGTTTCAAAATTGGGGCAGACAGTGGAATACTAAGCAGACACGTCAACAGGAATCTTGAGAACACAGAGAGAAAGAAAGCGCAAGTCAGGAGACAGAGTTTGAAATATGAATTCAAAAGACTCAAGAGAAACGGAAGTGTTGAGAGGTACATCTAAACAGGCTACAAATGAAAGAAACGCCAGAGTTTGGGGTTTTCTGCCTTGAGGAAGGAGGAAAGGGGGAGGAGAATAAAAGAAATATTAGAAGGTAGGTGTGTGTTCACTGTGATGTGATGTCTTTCCATGTTCCTCATCCATAGAACGCACTCATCAGATAGGGCAGAAAGATGTTATGCAGAAGAAACTCTTTCTAGTGGGGCTACCAAATCCAGGCTTCTAGTGGCTCTTTTGTCTATCACATGAGAACTGCCTGATACCCCAGGACAGAATAAGGATAATCCCTTCTCCTAAGAGACAAAGGAATGGCAAGTGTAGGAGAGAGACTTGGAAGAGAGCAGATGCATTCCGAGGTTAGGATTCACACAGCATGAAGATCATACTGTGTAGTTCTGCCCAGACTGCAGGAGCCAATCACAGACTGAACCAGTACCAATGAGGAGATGCAGGGTGGTGGCGGATGTGACCCCCTTGGATGCCTTGACCTCCACTGACCTTTTACTCACAAGCAGGGCTATTGAGACACAACATTGCAATCTACAAACTTCACACTGTGGAACCCGGCAATGGAACCAACAACAACAAACAAAAACTTGCACACACACACAAAACTTAAAACCCATCCAGTATCTCAATGTTCTACAAAAGATTACAATATTGTGTTGGGTTGAGTTCATAGCTATCCTGGAAGGCATGTGGCCTGTGGACAGTGGGTTGGACACATCTGCCAGAACTTTCTTCAGCCCGTGCTGGATCACGAGGCAGCCCAAACTCAGGGCAAAAGTGGGGTGGAGCCTGAGAGTTATCCTTAGTCTGGTACCAAACACAGCATGCTTATATCTCAGAGGGATGACCTTCGACTCCAAGAACTCCAAGCCGAAGATCACAAGACTAGAACGATTACTCTGATTTGAGAGTAATTTTAGACATTAGTTCGAGCATTCGGCAACTATTTCCCAAGCTCTAGGTGAAGTGGAACCTCAGCTGCTGCTTCCATGGAGTTTCCTGCGAGGGTTTAACATGCGGTGGGAGACTCTAGTGGATCCATTCCGTGTAAATTCACAAATGTCCCCTGGGAAATCTGTAGGCATAGGGGTGCATCTCACTACTGGCTCTCTTTGTGTAACATACACTACACATTCCAAACGTTCCCTAACAAGCATTCCCTGAATGGCCAGAGAAGGTCAAGATTAGCCGGCAAGTGGCAGGAGAGGAAGAGGGGAGGGGCTTTGTAAAGCCTCAGTCAACTGGCTGCTTTAGATTGTACTGTTTGGGGAGTGCATTTAACCCTAGTCTGGTGTCCGCTCTTTGCTCTCACTCCATTGTGTGTGCCCTGCAAGCAGAGAGGTCGCCCTCTTATCGTCTTGGAGCTCATTACCCAAATAAACCTAACTAGCAGGGCACAGGAGTATGATTGGGCTGTTGGCCTCAGGGTCAAAAGAGGCAGGGCACTGTCTTTGGGTTAGTGGAACTGGTTTCCACCAGGCCTTCTCTCCCACGGAGCAGGTTAGGATTCAACCCCTAGTAAGCACATCCTGTAAGGGCGGCTTCTCTCCCACTGGCCAGCTCTGCGGGGGACAACCACAGACCCCTACGCTTGAAGAGTCTGAGCCTAGATAGGAGGGTAAACTAGAGGCTACCAGGGGCCACAGAGGAGCCATACCCCACGACTGCGCCAGGTATCCGCACATCTTACTCACCACCACACCACACACTGGTCCTTTCCTACCTTCCCGCCCTGTCTAATCATCTGGGTCTGAGACGGAGGAAGGGACCCGCATCTAGGTGTCAACGACCAGAAGCAAATGTCCCCCTGACCCTATGCCGTGTCTTTTTTTTTTTTTTCCCTAGGTGGGTGGGTGGGGAGACAGAAGGAGCGGGGCAGAGCAAGCCCCTTCAAAGGGGGCACCTCTCATAGGCGCAAGAGGAGATGGCTCTCCAGGGCGGGCTGCCAGTGTTGGGGGTGCTGGATGGCGCACGCCCCCTAAGCCCCGCAAACCCACGGGCCCCGCATGACATCAGAGGCTGGGGAGAGCGCAGAGCGCAGGCGCGGGCGGAGCAGGCGGGCGGGAGGGGGCGCGTGGCGCTGCTCGGAGAGCGCTCCTCCGCCCAGCTCGGTCCCTGCGCCCCGCTCCGCCCGTGCCTCGCTGCCCGCGCCGAGCTTCGGGCGTCCACAGCGCGCCCGTCGCCCGTGCAGCCAGCGCCACTCAGGGCTGCGCCGCGCACCCCGCCTCCTCCCTTTCCGCCGTCGCCGCCGTCGGACACGCAGCCGCAGGCCGGGGCCCGGCCGCAGCTGGGGAGTCAGGGGCGCGCGCAGTCAGCCCTTCCCCCTCCGGCTCCCGCACCGCTCGCCGCCTCCCCTCGCCCTCCTCCTCTCCCCTCCCTGCTCCTTCGCCGCTTCCTCCTCCTCCTCCTCCTCGCCCGGCCCCAGCTGCCAGCACCATGTCCGCAGGGGGAGATTTTGGGAACCCGCTGCGAAAATTCAAGTTGGTGTTCCTAGGGGAGCAGAGCGGTGAGTACTCGGCTTATTCTCTCGGCTCAGAGCCGAGTCTTTTCCCCACGCCGCCCATTCAGCCACCCCACTAGGGACCCTCCCAGCCCCGGCTCGCCAAGGCCCTTCCACGCCCCGGCGTAGGAGAAGGATGCAGATGGGGAGATGGGGCTGACTCGGGCGGGGCCGGGCTGGGGAGGACCAAGGGGGAAAGGAAGAAGACGGCTCTGGGGTCAGGGGATGAGGATGAGTGTGGGATCTGGGTACGGGTACCCGGTGCAGGTGCGTCCGAGAGGACCGAGGGCGGCGGCTGGCTCGCCGGCTCTAGGCGCCGGGCTCGCGGGCTCGCTCACTAGCTCGCACTGCGGCACAGGCTGCAGAGCACTGTGCAGGTGTCTGGGTGCCGGCGAGGGTGTGGGCGAAGGGACAGGAGCCTCTCTTGGGAGATCGAGGTGGGGCTGGGAGCTGGTTGCCCCCTCCCCAAGGTTGCGCCCGAAGTCTCCCTGTGGACCTTGCCTGGAACGTAAGGAAATGATAGGTTCAGCCCTGGAGCAAATTGCTGCTGGGAAATGGGGGACACGACTCCTGTCCCTTTTCGAAAAGAGTGGGTACAAGTGGTAGGGGAACGGGGCACTTAGCTTCTCTGGCTTCCATCCGACTGGGCAGAAGGTTCTAGACTCACTGTCCTTCACTGATTCATTAGCCTCTTTGGGGCTCAAGGGTGTGGATCGTGAGAGTGAAGATTCTCCCTATAGCAGGTGACTTGGGGGATGGTACAGAGGCATCTCATATCTATGAGCTTGGCACTGGGCAGAAAAAGGCCTAGGCGACACGCCCTGCCTGGCTTCCCTGCCCCCTCTAGAGAGCATCAGTGGAGCCGGTGGATTCTCCCACCCCCATCTCCCAGCTCACCGCCGTTCTTGGGGGAGGGGAGGTCACCGTGGCAGCCAGCCAGAGCCTAAGAAGGGGGAGAGGAAGGATTTCTTTGCTGCCCAGGAGTCTCCCCTCCCCACGTATCTGAAACCCAGGTTGGTCCAAGGTGGGAAGCCCAGATTGAAGAGCAGCGACCCCTCTGATACCTGTAGGAAGGAATGGCTCCATGAGAGCCTCCATCCAGGAGTCCCATAACCAGGGAGTTACAGAGCCGAGCTGGGCTTCTGAGCATTTCTACTGGAGGAGAGGGGGATCCCTAGGGGGCGGGATCCTCAGCGCTAGCTCTGTAAACCAGTTGTTAGCTGGTTTAGAGGCCAAGAGGAGGAAGACTGTGGGAGGATCTGGTGGGCCCAGGCACAGTGCAGCTATGACGTGTGCGTGTGGGCTGTGGAGGTCACATGGCCACCTCCTGTCTGCTGACGCTCGGTACCTGAGATGGAGGGTTGGAATCCGGGCGGAAGAAGTGGTTGCCTGTCCTGGAGAACTGGGTTTGGGACATTTCATATCATACCTAGCTCAGCTAGGTAACCAGCTGGATCTGATTTCCTGTGCTTTGTAGAGCCCAGTATCACAAAGGACACTTCTGTTCTCTGCTGTGTGGCAAGGATTTGAGAGCACCTCAGCCCTAGGAGGGAACCTGCAGGTGCACAGAAGCCCTGGGTTGGAAGTCTCAACTGTGTTGTTGTTTGCCTAATATGAGGCCTCCTGGACAACCAGTTTATGTCTCTGAGTAATGGGTGACTGGAAGCAGCCCTTATACCTCAGGTTTCCCCCAGTGCCTGGATATGCTGGAATTCAAAGAATATTTGTTTATTCTAAATCTAAACCCAGTTCCATAAAGAATCATATTGCTGAGTTTGAATGAAAACTCTGGGCTCCCTTAGAAACTGTGCTGATGGGTGGAATCACACCCTCACCCTCCCCCCAGAGTTCTGCCAACCCCTCCAGGTCTGGAGTCACAGAAATGAGAGACAACCTGTCCTCACGTGCTCACATGGAGAGGGAGTGGAGAGGTCTTGCCCAGACCCCACTGTGAGTTGTGAACACTCTGAGAGCAGGAACCCACACTTCCCTTTTCCCCGTCTACCATTTTTAACTAGTGTGTCATTGGGAAATAAGATGACCTTCAATGTGGGAAGCCAAGTCCGGAACCTCTTTGAGAGGATATATGGGCTCAGGAACAGTTGGTTGTGGCCTGGTGGGAATGCTCTGCTAGTTGGTTAGGGGAAGGGTCCATGGGCCCTTGGAACATAATCCATCGGTGAGATTGACTGCCAGCCACGTTAGTCCCTTCCGGCAGACAGCCTGAAGCCCTTGAACAGTTTCTTCCACTTTGATGTGTTATTAGTGAGTTGTTTACCTCAGGTTTACAAAGCTTCTGGTGTCTGTGAGTCGCCGAGGTTATGTGTGGCGGGCTGTGACTATAACGCCTTCCATCTTACCTCCCCACAGTTTTGCGTGCCAGCATCCTCTGCAGCCTGTGCTGTGGAGGGAGGCTCCTGATGTCTGGTCCAAAGCCTACCTTAGCTCTCCTTTCCTGTGTGATCTCAGAGACTCCTCACCTTCTATATGGGGGCACTTGAGCCAACTGAAATCTGAGGCATAAGCTCCCCTATAGGAGCCGACTGATGGTGATGAGGGAGGGAGGAAGGAAAAGAGGTGGGAAGGACACAACCTTCTTCTGATCTGTATTTCTGGCATTGTGGTAGCATCCCTCTAGGCTTGTGGGTACAGAGAGCTGGGTTCCAAAGAGAGGTGTCGGGCTTGGAGGGTAAGGAAGCAGATAATCAATCATAAGTAGACCTTCAAAGGTACCAGGGAACTGGTTCAAATGGGCAGCTTTTGAATACTCGCCCTCTGGAACACTCCTCCAGCCTGGAGGAGAGTGTGTCAGCAGAGTGAATGGTGTGTCATCTGGCCTACAGACTGTAGTCTGACTGGCAGTGCCCACCTGCCATGGGGGTGGAATCCTGGGCAGGTGCTGTGGACTTAGGGTAAGGTGTTTGCTTGCATCAGGAAGGCCATGCAGGGCTGCTGGTGCTCAGGTAGCTGTGTGGGTCTTCCTGATTAACCTCACACCAATGGCAGTGCTGGGGAACACAAGAGGGTGGTGCCAGTCATGCCAGACTGGTGTGGGACACTCCATTGCATCTGGAAAAGATAGACAGGTGTCTGAGGGAGAGTGGGCCTGCACGGTGTCCATCTTTCTCCCAAGTTAGCAGAGCCTCCGAGGGGACCTGGACCTCACCAGACACATCTGGTGTGTGTGGTGAGGAAGGAGGAAAGGAAGAATAGACAGACACAAGGGCCTGTCTGCTTTCCCGGGCTGAGGCAGTAGGCCATCAGCCTCTCTAGGCCTGAGTACAAGGAGTAGGGGTAAATTTCAGAGAATCTCCTCTCTCCTTGGTCCAGCTCTACAAAAAGTATAGGCGGAGGCACACCTGTCAGGAGTGACTCTAAGGCAGTGGTTCTCAACCTTCCTAATGCTACGACCCTCTGATGCAGTTCCTCATGTCATGGTGACCCCCGACCGTAAAAGCATTTTGTTGTTGCTTCATAACTGTGATTCTGCTACTTTTATAAAGAGTAACGTAAGTATCTGATATACAGAATTTCTAATGTATGATCCCAAGAGGGTGATGACCACAGGCTGAGAACGGATGCTCTAAGGAATGGCTGGCACCCTCTAGGGACTGTCCTCCATTTCCTCTTCAATTAAGGGTTAAGGGACAACTATCCACAGCCTGAGCCCTGTTCCCTACAGCCACCCCCACGCACCAGCACACAGCCCTGTACTAGCTTCCAGAAGCGTTTCTCCTTTCAACTTCCAGGCTTGTCAAATGAATACAGCTTTGATTCTTTTAATGAGCATTTAAAAAAAAATTGGCCATGTGGAGTCCCATGACCCCTCTTTTGTCTCACTTAACTAAGGATTTTAATTTAAGGATTTCAGAGTGAGTTTTAAGCACCCTAAGTGGGTGACCAGAGCACATTGAGAGGATTGTGTCTGAGTCATCTCCTGCTCCCCGCTCCCATCTGTAGGCTGTGCGTGTTCACCAAAGATCTTGATTTGAAAAATGATGACATCTCTGGTGTGTGAGATTTGCTGATGGCCTGTCAGCAGATTAACAGTGAAGGGACAGGAGTCAAGGCAGCTTTGTGTAGCGTTCATCCTGGCACCTGGCATTTTCTCAGGCCAGATTCTTCTTACCAGGGAGTTGGCAGGTTTTGGTTTTTTTCTAGAGAATTGTATCATTATGCCATGGTCATGCCCAAACACTTGAGATTCCCAAAGGATTCCCCAACTCCCTTTATATTTCTGAAGAAATATGGGGGTGAAGTGGGGGCTCCTGTACTACCAGAAGTGGGAAAGGACACGGCAGACCAGAGCAGTTCTCTTGGAGACCTGGACTCAATCACCATGCTGTTCTGTGCCTCAGTTGCTTATCACGTTCTTTCCCCTCTCCTTCTAATTTCTCTCTCCTTGCCCCCTCCCTTGGATGCTAGTGCAAGAGAGAGAAACTTGGACGTTGGGTACAGATCTAGAACCCTAGATTTTGTTTGTTTGTTTAATGAAGTATGTAGGAATCACATAGACAGTAAGATGAGTATCTCAGTATACTTTCTGTTACTCTTAACAAAACACCCAAGGCAGTGCAGCTTTGTAAGGAGAACAGGTTTATGGAGTTCACATTCTGGAGGGTCAAGGACAGGGTGCTGGCATTGGCTCAGTTCTGGTGAGGCGCTCATAACAGATGACATCATAGTGGGGAGTGATTCTGAGGGCATGAGGTCTTATTACCACAAGAAGTTAGATAACTTCACAATCCCTTCCGAGCACCAGCTCCAATGGATCAAAACCCCTCTTAGTAGGTTTGCAGTCTTATTTTTTGTGTGTGTGAGGAGTTAGTTGAAAGGTCAGGGGATAAGAAGACAGACAAAGGTCTTACACAGGCCTCACTGGCTTTGAACTCCCTGTGTAACTGAGGATAACCTCCAGCCCTCCTCCTCCACATCCTGAGTGCCAGGGATTGGATCTAAGGCCTCATGCTTGCCAGATTAAGCACTAAATCCCCTGGTCCCACCTT